CAAACCCCCCCCCCCCCAATGGCCCACAAAACATTCTCCTTTCCTTGTGAAGGGTTTACAATGCATTGTAGTCATTAACCAGTCTTTTACTATTAAACTTAAATGGCCAATTAAGACAAACAGTTCTGAGATCACTCTTCCACCACTAAAACTGGGGCGGCAGATATTGGGGATAATATTCATTTAGACTTCTGGGCAGGCTTGGTGACTTTGCCAGCTCCAGCTGCCTTCTTGTTCAGTGCTTTGATGACACCAACAGCAACTGTCTGTCTCATGTCACCAACAGCAAAACGGCCTAGAGGAGGAGAGTCAGAGCTCTCAGCGCACATGGGTTTGCCAGGAACCATATTGATGTTGGTAGCATCACCCGATTTCAAAACCTTTGGGCCATCATCCAGCTTTTTCCCAGAATCACCATGGATCTTCTTCAGCTCAGCAAATTTGCAAGCGATATAAACTGTGTGATAGTCCAGCACAGGCGCATATCCAGCACTAATTTGGCCTGGATGGTTCAGGATAATCACCTGAGCTGTGCAGCCTGCTGCTTCCATTGGTGAGTCATTTTTGCTGATCAATGGGAAAGGAAAAGACTCATAACATCGTCATGCTTAACAGGTAGATTTTGACAAGTTATGAGTCATCCATATTGCCATGACGAAGTTCTTTGACCGACATGTTCTTGACATTGAAGCCCACGTTATCCCCAGGAAGAGCTTCACTCAAAGCTTCATGGTACATTTCAACAGACTTTACTTCAATTGTAACGTTGGCTGGAGCAGAGGTGATCACTATGCTGGGTTTGAGGACACCAGTCCTCCAGTCGGCCCATGGGGACAGTACCAATACCACCAATTTTGTAGACATCCTGGCGGGGCAGAGTCGGGGGCTTGTCAGTTGGGTAAGCTGGTGGCAGGATGCACTCCACAGCTGCAAGCATTGTGGTCCCACTGGCATTGCCATCTTTACGGGTGACTTTCCATCCCTTGAATCAGGGCACATTAGCACTTGGCTCCAGCATGTTGTCGCCATTCCAACCAGAAATTGGCACAAATGCTACTGTATCAGGGTTGTAGCCAAATTTGTTAATGTAATTTAACAATTTCCTCATATTTTTGCAGGCTATAGGGCATTTTGTTACCACCAACAATCAGTTGTTTCGCACCCACTGTTTAAGCCAGAAGGGCATGCTCATGGGTCTGCCCATTCTTGGTGATACCTGCTTCAAATATATCAACACCAGCAGCAACAATCAGGACTGCACAGTCAGACCGAGATGTGCCCGTAACCATTTTTTGATAAAGTCTCTGTGTCCTAGGGCATCAGTGATGGTCACAGAATACTTGCTGGTCTCAAATTTCCACAGGGAGATATCAATGGGGATACTATGCTCACGGTCAACTTTCAGTTTATCTAAGACCCAGGCGTACTTGAAGGAGCCCTTCCCCATCTCAGCAGCCTCATTCTCAAAATTTTCCATGGTTCTTTTGTCCATCCCACCACAGTTGTAAATCAGATGGCCAGTAGTGGTAGACTTGTCAGAATCCACCTGTTCAATCATGACGACGTTGTTATGAGTCTTTTCCCATTTTGGCTTTGATTTAGTGGTGGTTTTCACGACCCTAGTGTTCTGGTGGCAAACCCATTGTGAAAAAGCTTCAACCTTTATTTTATTAAACTTATTTTCCTTCTACCTAGACTGTTCATCTTCATATACTGATTTTTATTTTCTTTTTGGGTGGCTGGGGTATTTTAGTTACAGAAACGGGATCGCATAATACCTATCACTCAGCCACCCTTTTTCTCACTGAACAAACTAGGACAATAGTTACAGGTCCTACATTTTTTGAACGCTGCGTAATGTCCTTGGGATGTATGGTTACACTACTTTTTCAGTCCCTTCACCTTGTACCAGCCTATCCCAGGTCGCCCTCATTTTTCCTTTCACGTAACATCGTTGCCCATTCATCTCTTACCCAACAAGCCCCGGGAACATAGTGATCGCTCAGTAAGTATTCGGAGCTCCCCTGGTCTGTTTTGGACAGGGATTCGCTGTGTGCATTGTTTGAGAGGGAGCGATCAATGGCACAGAAGAGGACCCTAGTGAAGAAATAAGGTGTTTCATCCAAACAGATGGGGAGGAAGGATTGCTGGGTGAGCTTCCTCGGGTACCTTTGGCGTCTCCCTGAAGAAGGGTAGGCTTTTCGGAGCTCCTGGAGGCATAGGTGGAATTGGGGCGTCAGGGACAGAAGCCGGCAAGGGGCGGACCCGCGCAG